AAATCAGTTATCTCTTTGGTTAGAGAATGATTCATAGCCGGAGAAACCCATTTTTGGATGTCCTCAAAATAAGAAAGAGGTGCTTGGTTTTGATCACTAGCAAAAGTATATTAGAACTTCAGAAATTAGAGGACTTGAAGACATGATTAAAGCAAGCTCTACCATCAATAACACCAACAAAAACTAGACAAAAAACATAGAGAACTCGAAAAGACCTAGGCTCAAAATAAAAATCTTGATCTCGGATTGAAAAAATGTCAAAGAGGACTCACAAATCTTACAAGCGGTCACTCGTAAACCAACTCCGGCCATCTACACACTAGAGACATGTCACATCCTCACAAGAAAAAAACTGAAGATTGAAGCCATTGCTTTGCCTTGAAACCAATCCCTAACCCCAAAGAGATCTAGGGAGAGGGCTAGTAGATACCTCCGACACAACTCTAAACACCAAATCGAGAGAGAAACTAAAGTGCATAGTAACTATGATCCTAATTAAACCTCCAAACCGAGGGACCCAAATTCTAAAGCCTACAACAAAGCCAATCAAACAGAGTGCAAAATACCTCCGACAAATACATAAGGTAGCTAGAACAACACCAAGCCTGTAAAACCGTAGACCCCAAATTGTTTTCATAGATGGAGTTCCAAATATTGTAGGTTTGTAACGGGTTGAAGATATACAAAACCTCACTTAGTGATATTTCATTTCAGAGTTAAAAAGATGAGGAAATGATTTCGAGATGGTCTAAAGCCTTTGCCAATGGGACTAAAAACACTTGAAAGTTGGAAGAAAATCAATAACTATTATAGGCACAAGAAACAATGATACTTCTCTATCAATGACGACGTCAGGATACTCAAACAATATAGAAATTCACTATACAAACTCAAGCAACTTACGATCATATGTAGCATGAACAGTAGCACAATCCAAAACTTTAAAAGAGATTTGAGTGAAAACCCATTGCACTCTCTAGCTTTTGAGCTCAGATCAAGTCAATTTTCCCAGATTCGATCGCCCCTCTCACAATCTTGTAACGTATGAAGTAGAGATCACCACGCTCCATCTCCACAGTTTCGGGGCTCTCTCCTCTGCCAAAAAAGCGGAAACTCACTTAAGTTTACAGAAAGGTTTCTGTATGGAGAAATAATGTTAAGGAGTTGCAAACTTCTCACTCTTCATATAGATTGAGGGAAACAAAGTTGTTGCTTCTGCAAACAACAAAAGTATCCAAATGCGGCTGCGGCACTGTAAATCACCAAAATCCACAATTATAGTTATCACTAACACTAGCTACTGCCTATACCAACTGAAATTCCATATTTGCAGAGACAGAATATGAATCCTGCATAGCAAATAAATTAGGTTTAGGTGTTCGTACCCATGTCATCCACTTCACTAATAAGGGATTGCTTGAGAACCGACTGATAATTCTCGGGCAACTTGACCAGCACACTCTCTTCAAAATGCTTTTCCAAATCACCAGCACACCTGAAATCATTCGTAAATGTCCCGTGACCCGAGCCACAATTAACGTCAAATCAGACAATATTGTGACAGAAACAAACCTTTTAGCAAACACCTTCTCTTGCTCAGAAAGCCGTTGTTGAGCTTCTTCTGACTTGTGGTTATGGAACATGAACTTCTCTATCTGCAACAAACACCACCATTGGAAGCAACAATCTCTATAAACCATACACATAATGCTTTTAAGACTTGAAATAAACGTTGATAAGCTCAGATAGTTAAGCTGACACTAATGGAAATGGAAGAAGCATGAAATAGAAATTGCAGGGTAAACTTTATTATT